TTGAATGTTTTGGAGTGTTAAAAAATGACTAAATACAATTTGTAAGTTAGTCAGTAAAGTTACTTCCTAGATTCTAATTTAGGATTTTTCTAATTTTACTTGTTTTGTAGCAGCTCGAGGAATAGTATATTGAATGTTTTGAAGTGTTAAAAAATGACTAAATATCATTTGTATTATTTCAGTTCTATGTCACGCGAAAAGTCTGATGCAATAGATAATATTTTTGGTTGCCACTTCAATCTGCTTATCATAGGTTACGGCAGTAAGAAGTCTTCCCTTTCCTAACTTCTGAGCAGGACTACATATTGAAGTGGAATTCGTTGTCGGTCGGTAGCCGGGCGGTTCGACGTGGGTGCTTTGTTCACTCATTCAATCGGCCGATGTGTGAGTCGATATTCAAGTTCCAGGCTGAACGCTCGATTTTCACTTGCTTTCGTCCGTGTTAGGAATCACACGTTGAACGGTAAGACCTCGTTAGTCCTTAGCTCGCACAAGTTTCGACTTCTGAAAGTTGTCGTTTGTGAGGCTGCGATAGATATGTATTGAAAGTTCATACATTAACAAGTAAAGCATGTACCTATACTCACAAAACTCTACGTAACTCAGAATGAATAACTGTAGTCAATTATTTTTATTAGATATTTATTGAATTTGAATGCATGCCATGTCAGTGAATGGTAACAAATTTCTCATCTGCATTTCTTGTCGAAAACGTACCTCATTTCATAACAATTTCACAATTAACACACCATTGGCAGAAAATGCTGCAGCAGTAACCGAAATGAAAACAGACAATAATTTCAGAGCGATTTCTGGTTGTCCTTCTGAGAGCCTGAAAAAATCAAATACAAGTTAGTTGTGATTTGATACGAATAAATTTACGTGACGAATAATGAAATGGTTGTTGTCAACAGATATATAAAATCACATCAAGAAGTGCTGATGATGATAGTATACCTTATTGTCCATGAAATAAATCATGATTACAAAGCATAAGAGATACAACATAGTATACAATGTCAAATGGAGTGAGCCTATTAGTGTATACAAATATTATTAAAAAAATTAACAGGTCAAAATAGTTATTGTATCGAAAGGCATCCTCAAAATATTCTTCTTCTCCACCTATGATCAGAAGGCCCAATAGTTATTGGACCTTCTGGTCATAACACCATGTACACTCATCAAAGGTTTCTGGTTCAGCAGTCCAAATCTCATTCTTATTAGTCGTAGGGGAGGACCACTAACACTGAACCAGAAAAAAAATTGTCCGGAGGTACGTCAATCTCTATAAAGCTCAGAAGCTCACTTGGAGCTTGAATAAAGGGACTATTTTCTTTAAAAAATATCTCATGATAAATGAAGAATAATATTATCTGCAAAACCGACTAAATCACCCCAGATCTTCTCTAATAATTATATCAACCTGAAAATACTACATGAGTGAAGAAAGTAATAGTCAAGAGAAACAAAAGATTTGTAAAATATATTTGTAATGGAAACCATTCTCATTATAAAATCGAGAAAGCTTAATGCCATCAAGCTGCTGGAAAATTATTCCATGAAAATGAAAAAAATAAAGAGATAATTACCATTCTGATCATTTCCAAATAGATTTCAATTTAAGAGCCACCGGTAAACAGTTTCTGTTTAAACTCTGATTGTTTAACTTAATACGGTCAAAATGAAGTTTTCTGTTACATTTCTTGAGATTTACAAATCTGATCCAGAAATAGATCTCGTTTCTGTATTTATTCCTGAACAGCGAATAGTGACTAGCAAACAATTTAGAGTAAATGGGAGAAAAACGCTGGGAAACTTTTTTCTACATTTCATACTCACTCAGGCACACTAAGACAACCGACGTTTATCAATAAACCGCCACTTATATTGTATAGAACAATAAATAGAATAAACTGCCAATCTTTATCAAAAACTACCGGTAAGTGACTCCTTGGTTTGGCATTGCAAAAAATAATGATTCCCACCGAAAGGACCGNACGTCGATCACAGAGCACCAAGCACTTATTTTTCAGAGTAGTCAAATGTCAAATTTGTCGAAAACCACTGACTCTAAAAGAAAAATAAATCCACAGTGAGAAAAGAGAAATGACGAATTTTAAATAAATATTTATGAATGGTAGTTGGTAGTTCACCTCACCCCTCTTGATTTTTTTTTAGGAGACTTTTTCTTGTCATTTGATTTGATACATAATATAAGCTAAAGCTAGATTAGTGAATGCAGAATTTTCAATTAATATTAATGCAAATAGTAATTAAATCATAATATTTGCAATAACCACTTCAAAATATTTACATTTCACATACGATGGAGTGTTTGCACATGCGCTAATTGCTTCATTCCATCTTTGCATCATGTGGGAAACTGTCACTTGTCAATTATTCTGATGACAGTGTTGGCGAATATTGATGCTATACAATTATAGCGAAAAGCATACATTTTCATCTGTCATTTTCGTACAAAAATTTTTTACCTAGAAGCAGCACTGGTCGGGGCGCGCTCTGACGTTATTTCGATTCAATACAGTGGTGGCCTTTGGAGTTAACGCATGCATGTATCTACAATGTTTTCTTCCGATTCGGATAGTGATATTGAAGGAAACCTTGCGTTTCACTAGTTCGGACTTCAAACAAACGTTGAAATTCATCACGAAACATTGTCAATCACCTTCAAAGAAACCTTGCGTGTCTGCAAATGTAAAGTTAACTTAAAAAGAGAAGAGAAAATTTTGGGTTCATCCAGTAAATGATCTGAGAGGTAGTCGAAGCGAATATCATTCACTAGTGATGAAGAAAGATTTCATCAATATTTCAGGATGTCAAAAAATCAACATTCTATGGTAGAAAATGATAATAAAAATGCAAACCCAACTTTTCTAACAAGTTCAATACGTTCATTCGACACCGTGTGCACAAATAAATGCAAACGACTAGTGTGGAGTGTTCTGTCGCGTCATAACCCCACCATCGTTCTGACGACAGATCGCGTCCCGACACAATGCATTTTAGTTATATAATTATAAACATAATAAATGTATGGATACGATATACTTGTGTCGCGTTACGACACACCACGACACAATAATATAATTCCGGCTTTATACACGGCGTTCCAACGGAAACTTGCTCTTCTGTAAGACAGAAACGAACGTTCATTTTTAGTGCTATTAATTTCGATATGAAGGTCATAAACAAAACTCCATCCCCTTACGGTCACCAGCTACCCTCCATATTTTTTTCAATGGCATGGTAGGTAATGTGATACATCATTTGACAACTTTTTTGTTCCTTCACCACCTCTAAATGTTTATGGAACTAGTTCATTCGGCATCGCTATCATTGAATGTTAAACGTATTAATTAGTAAAAAACATAATTTGCGCTGTTGTTTATTGGGGAATATTCAAAAATATTGGAAGGAAATTATAGTGAAAATGAATGAATTAACAAAAAAATAACGGGCATATCTATGGTAGATATAGAAGAATATATTTTGGAATGTTCCGAGACATTCCAGAAAGATAGTAGTTGAGGAAAGAAAAAGAAATTGCAAAGAAAGACTTCAAGGAAAATTTAGTGGCAACAAAAAGTGAAATATTAGAGCGAGTCGAAATATATTGTACACTTTTTGGAGGAATGGATTTTCGAACATTCAAAAATATCTGAAATACGAAAACTTCTTCAAAACACAAACCACCTATAACTCACTAAAATGTGAATTATTCTATTGAGATCCACCTTCGCGTGGCCACCATGAGTACACATACAAATCGAGTTTTGGGACACTTGAAATGGTATCGAGGTATACCTAATATTTGAGGCACCAAATATTTCATACGTATCCTTTAAATAGTTCACATCGAATTAGATTTAGACATAGCAGAAATGTTCTATACAATCGATCCCATGATATCTGAATGTGGACCAAAAGCGTGCAAGAGTGGAAACATCGTGTTTGAACTTTGCTCGATTTGGAAAAGATGCAGGCTCCATTTCAGAAACAACGTAGCAAAAGATAGAATACAAACGCTCTTGTTCTCCAAAGCCTAGAAATTTCGAGTTCATAAATCTGCTGGAGAAATTCCTGCTTGAATTTTTGGGATTACCAGTAATCATGATTGGATTCCTAAAAAAAGGATAGAACAATAACTGGGAATCATTATTCAATGTTCCTGATCACTGTATGAAAGAATCAATGGGTATTTCACCGAAACGGTGATGGAAGTTGAAAAAACCTGGTGTGCAGAAAAGTTCAGAGTTCACTGTGAAAATACCAGTTGAATAATTCTTTTATTCTTCAAGTCTCAAATTTCGTTTGCTTTCAAAGTAGGCTGGAAATTTTTCAATACATCCTTCTACATGCAAATTGAAATCAAGTACAAAATATTTGATATTCGTGACTTGTTATTCGAATAGTGCTTTCGATTTTCTTGTGACTGAATATGATAAGACTTTCTAATAATAATATTGCACTCACTTGCCCAAGCACTCCCATCTCCATAGTTTTGTGATTCAACCAAGCTTGTGACTGAAGGATCAATGCAATTCGTTGTAAAAATCACAGTGCCAACTATAGTAACTCCAGGCCATATCAGTTTGATGACATTTTTCATTTCTGACCAAGATAATGTATTTTTTTTCGTTTCTTGGTCTCCTGTGCTGTCTTTCGTGTAATAAGCATATAATTTTGAGTATTTTATGCCAAAAGATATACAAAAATTTGCCGTTACCAAAACAGTTCCTGTTAAAAAATAAATTAGAGCTCCATCTACGGCTGGTCGGTGACAGATATACAAATGATTTGAAGTAGATCTGTGAGTATTCCTCCACTTCGTCCCAAGAGAAACCATTTCATGAAATTACTGGGAAATTTTGCCACTAATACCATTGAAGACAGTTTGTAGACGGCAACTGCAGCTGGAAGTAAACAAAATGAGTTTTTTATGAATTTCATGTTCATATTGATGTAAACTTCATTTTATCCACAATGGGTATCACTAATCCCCATCATATTTAGAATGTGCCCGGTAGAGTTGACTACATTGATGAGCATTTTCTAGGTATTTTGTATGCCATTTATTTTACTCCGTAAGAATACTTATTTTCAGTACCAACCAATATGAAACCACACACCTATGCTGTTTAATTAAAATATCCGAAAATTTGATGATTTTTTGAAACTAAAAGGAAAAAATAGGTTAACAAAAGTAGTAATGTGACAATACTCAGGAAATATAATCAGTCATCAGGGCGTCAGATTTCCATCGAGATCAAATATATCATTCTTTCACTGTACAAAAATGTAAATGATCCTAAAAATTATAACTTTGCTGATAAATTCTCAGAATTTCAAATCATAAAAAAAAGTAGCTATCAAGAAAGTTATGATTCACTATTAATAATCTGAAGAAATACTGAATGATAGTTACTCTGATGATATGACATGCCATCTGCATTTTGACAAAAATCAATGATTGTCATCAGCATAAACGTTAATCGGATACAATTTTTTCAAAGAACTTGTACTCGTCATTACTTGTCATTGTGTTTACCCAACGGGTGGGCGTGGGATGCGAAACCAATCCAAGTCGTCTTGTTTAAACAGTATTCTGAAATTGAATATGTTTTGTACAATCAAAACGGTACGTTTTTATATGTACCTGCATAGTTCTTTCTGCCACGCCACATTTTTTTTTCACCAGAACAAAAATACCGACTCTCGGCGCGAGTTTCGGTATCATGATAGCACCTAAAAATTCAGAGGCCGTACGCCTATGGCGTGTGTTCAGTTTATTCGCTGTTGTTATTATTGTTTATAGTTTTTGTAGTTGGTTATGAGTAACTTACCACAAAATCATCTATATCCTTAAATTTCGTTTTCATATGAGTAAACGCCTATGGTAAAAGAACAAAATTGGCTCCGCACTTCGTTTCGAGGTCGCCGAGAACTTTGTGAATTCATGACTGAAAGTAGTGGGAGTGGACAAACTGGTTGATGTTTACTATGGTGGAGGTCAAATAGAACCACTCACTTTGGACCTACCTAACCGAAAGCCTATGGCACTTTATACCTGCCAACAAAAAACATGCAACCCTGCACTTCCAGAGTCATATACACTAGTGCAAAAATAGGAGAAGATTAGTTTATACTGTTCTTTTTGGGTTAATCACCTTCCACAAACCAAAAAAAAAAAATCAATAGAGAATCTTCTGATTAAAGGGCAAACTGAAAAGTTCACCCGTAAAAGGTACAACCTAATATAAACTACTGGAAATTCCAATTAATCAGTAATCTTTCGTATTCATAAATTTTGCCTACAAATTGAAAAAAACTTGATTGAAAAAATTCAATATCGATACTTAGCATTCTTGAGTGATTAAGGTTTCGGAAAACAATCCTTTACGGTTTTCAAAACTTGTTTTCACTATGAAAATCTCGCCTCAAACTGTGATATTTCAAATTTCTTTGACACAAGTCAAACGAATGGAATGTCCAAATGTCACATGCGACAGTCCACAGTCTCTTCTCAGTAATGGCAATCAGGTACGATTCATTTCCACAGAATTATTTGCAATAAACTTGTTACCTGTTAAAAGAATATATGCGGATTCTTTGATGTTATGATCAAAAAATCGATGAAAACTCTTCATACCAGTGTTTATCGAAAGAAAACTCATACCAGCAGATATCTCCACTATAAATCTAATCACCACGCTATCGTCAAAAAAGGTACAGTTAGGTGTTTGCATGATAGGACGAAGACAGTTTTTAGTTCAGTTCATAATATGAAAGAGGAAATAACTATCATTAAAACAGTTTTGGAACAAAACGCATATCTGGAGCAGTTTCACATACCTCACAACTAACATCATACCTTATGTTCCTGGTTTTTCTGAGAAATTGAGACGCATCGGTTAAAAGTATAATATAAGAACAACTTTCAGAACTACCAACATATTGAGATCTCTTTTG